CACGAAGGGCTGAGGTAGGAAATGGCGAGATAGCCACAGAGGCCACGAAGGGCTGAGGTAGGAAATGGCGAGATAGCCATAGAGGCCACGAAGGGCTGACATTGGGAGGTGGCGAGATCGCCACGCACGGAGGAACAGGGAGCAGCGATGGAGCTGCTGGGGGAGCAGCCAGAGGGCTGTACCAAGAGCCTGCAGCGGAGCTGCAGGAGCGTGGAAGGCCACGGGAGCGAAGGCAGATGTGGGGCTGCCAGGGAGAGAGTCTCAGGAGGAGTGCCGTGTGGGAAGGAGAACGCGAACCCCAAATAAAGGACACGGAGTCAGAGAGAAGTGTCTGAGTCCTTTTATTACACTGGAGTCAGAAGTGAAACGGCATCTCAAAACAACTGAGAGAAAGAAGAAAAAAAAAATATTCCTGCTACATCATCCGACGACGACGACCTTCCTCAGACAGTGGACCTGCCTGCGATGGAAGAGGAGATCCGTTCTGGAACGAGTACGGGTCCGGGTGAGCAAGGTGTCGCCGCGTCGGTGGACCTGTCTGTGCCGGAGGATGCCAACTTACGATGGAGACAGATGGTGATGCAGATGGGGACCTTGAAAATCGTGCTGGCGCGACTGTGTGAGTTCACCACGCCGAGGACGACGTCGGGGAGGCCCGGTGGTGATCCGCAGGCCTCTGCCTTTCCTGCGCTGCCAGGGCCATTGCCACGTGGCACGAAGACGCCATCTTGGGCGTGGCAGGGGAGAAAACGGCGGGAAGCCGCCATCTTGTCTTCACCGCGGCGGGAGGACGCCGCCATCTTCAACATCGCGGCGGAGAGGCAGCCTTGCGCTGCCATCTGGAGGTGCCGCGGGGTGAGCAGCCTGCTGTGAGCTGCTGTTTTTCGAGGGGGTGCTGCGAGGAGAAGACGCCGATGCTGCAGCTGCTGGGGCGGGAGCTTCCCGTCCTGGTTCGGGTGCGTGACAACGGAGCCGTCAAGTCGCCGAACGAGTTCTGCGAGGCGTCTCAAGTTGCCACCCTGCCGTCCTCTTCTTGCTGCAGCCCCGGGCGAGTCATAACGATACGCACCCGGCCTTAACACACACCTCACTCATCTTTCGAGGGCCGGGGGGGGGCTATTTTGGTTTTCTCTTATGACTCGATTGTGCGGAGCGCGGTTCGGACTGTCTGTATGTGTGTGTAATAACGATGAACGCGCTATCTGCTTGTTGCTTGGTGTCAATATAAGTGTGTGCGTGTGTTGAGAATGGACGGAGAGTCTGCTGTATTTGCTGAGTGTCAAATTGTGTGTGTGCGCTGCTGCGTGGAGTTCTTATCTTGATGGTGAAGTTAATTATTAACTTGGGAGCGTCGGGTATCTTGCGCTGTATTATTTGTGGATTACCTTGTGCGATGGGCTTAATTGGAAAAAAAAAATATATCTTTTTTTTGGTGTATTGTGCTGCGAGGTGCTGTGTGCGATGCGATTGTTGCAAGAGAGAGAATAATTGTGTTGTTGCTGCAAAGTTACGACAGGATTAATGGTGTGTTGGTTGCCTGCAGATCTGCTTGCTATTGTGCTTAAATGTGCGCGTGTGATCGCGATATGCTGATTGCATGTGCTGTTATACCGTTCTGTATGGTTATGGGGTGCGATGCAGTGGTTGATTATTGGAATTGGGATTGTTATTATATTGTGCGTACCTGTTGGAAATTGGTAACAAATTCGAGGGGGACCCAAATAATTGGTTGTATGGTTGTTGTGCACACAAGATTGCGTGTATATTATAGAGGGGGACCCTAAAATTCGGTTGTATTGGTGTTGTGCACACGAGATTGCGTGTATATTATAGAGGGGGACCCTAAAATTCGGTTGTATTGGTGTTGTGCACACGAGATTTCGTGTATATTATGGGTAATTGCGCTTTTTGAGAGAGAGAGCGCGCTTTGAGGGTGCGTGATGACGCCGTTGTGGGTGTCTCAAAGGTTAATGCTAATGGGACCGTAAATTGGCGCCAAGTGGCGTCGCGTATTCGGTTGATCGCATGCAGCCACGAGTTGCTTGGCGAGTTGGGTTGTGTAACTAATGTGGTTGGTAAAATATTGGTTAAAAATTCCACGATATGACAGCTGTGCGCAGCAAGCTGGGGCTGTGCGTCTATCGTTGGTGGGGTTGTTATAATGTGACGGGAGATGCGTCTTGTGACCCCCAGCTAAGGGAAGCTGGGGTGCACGAATGGAGAAAACTGGCCACGTGTTCGCACGTTGGGCCGCCATTTTGCGCGCACGCGGGGTGTGGCGACGATGCGCTTTGCGGAAAGGGCCGCCATTTTGAGTGCGCGCGAGATATTGCGCGAACGCGCTGGGCGAAGGGGGACGCCATTTTGAGCGCGCGGGAAAAACCGGGGTGGGGCAAATATTCCATCTGTTATGCCTGCCATTGTTGATTGGGTGATGCACGAGTTGTGGTCACATCGGGCTATGGCTGATGGCTGACCTGACAGCCCGGAGGCGAAACCTCCGTGGTATGTCTTAAACTAATGGGCCATGTGCTCATATGGCTCGGGGAGTCATGGTTCAGTTGTGCGGTGGCAGACTGAGCCTGGTGTGCCGGGGGCTCACGGGATCTGGGTTAGGGTGTTATTGTCTCTATAAGAGAACATTGCCCCGTGGGGGGAGTACAGGGGGTCTGGCATTGCTGGGGGATGAACCTTCCCTGGGCTATAAAGCATCGGACTATACGAGGCTGGTGTGTGTCCATCTCTGATGGGATAGTAAGGGAGGAGCGTGGCCGAGTTGCTGCTCATCCCCGAAATTGCACTAGCTGAGAGTATGGTCAGTGGATGTTGCTGTGGGTTGACGACCACGGTGGGGGTTAGGGCGAGTTAAACATTACCGCTGGGGAGCGTGGCTCTCTCCACGCGAGGGTGTGCGATTAGGCGTTTTGTTGGGTTGCTGAGAGTGACCGTGGGTACATGCTGTGTACGTGCGATGTCTGTGCTGGTCCTCAAGGGAGGACTGCTGGTGGGTAAGAGCAGAAAATTTTGTTGTTGTTGTTGTCACGTGTAAATAATATTGTTGTTAAAATGTAAATACTGGGGCATCCATTGCGTTATTTTGGGTATTTATGGGGAGTTTTTTTTTTAAGCGGGCTGGATTTACATCATCTCCACTACCCTGAGGCCGGGTGGCTGTCGTGTACGACATGCGGGTGTGCGTTGTTGTGCTGTGCCTCAGGGGATTGGATTCTCCTTCTCGTCACAGATTCTTCAGCTCCCGTCACACTGGGTGTTACCTGGTGTGCTAGCTGGATGAGGACTTGAAGGAGCAATTGAGCGCCGTTCGTCATTCTGCTCTACCATTTGCTCTTTGACGTTGGACTTGAGCCGAGCGGATGGAACTGCAACATGGACACGCACTAAAACATCACATTTCTGGATTGTGCGCGTTGGCCGTTCTTGCGTGTCAGTTGCCGTTGTTGTTCATTGTGCCATTCTTATTCTTGTTGTTGTTGTTGCGCGGAGGACAGGCCAGTGTTCTGTTCCAGTTCCTGATACCTCCCCTTTCGTTGCTTGTGTTGTTGTTGTTATAATCTCCGTTGTGTCTGGGGGACTCCTGATTGTGATGCCTTCGCCCGCATTATTTTGTTCTGTTTCAGCCGAGGACGGCTGGGATTTTCTCTACGGGGGAGGGTAGTGTAATGCGGGCGTAAATGGGCGGGGCGGATATGACGATCCGAGAGGGAGGAGTCAGGGTGACGTGGGGGAGAAGTTATAGCGGGGAGACAGGAAGCTATCTGGGGCAGTCGGGGGAGTGAAGGGTGGTGAACACGTTGGGTGGTCGCCGTGCCTCAGCCTGGTGGCTGAGGGGCTCATGACGGCGCCAGCCAGCGGGGTGGAAGAGAGAGTGGAGGATTGAGGTAGGAAGTGGCGAGATAGCCACAGAGGCCACGAAGGGCTGAGGTAGGAAATGGCGAGATAGCCACAGAGGCCACGAAGGGCTGAGGTAGGAAATGGCGAGATAGCCATAGAGGCCACGAAGGGCTGACATTGGGAGGTGGCGAGATCGCCACGCACGGAGGAACAGGGAGCAGCGATGGAGCTGCTGGGGGAGCAGCCAGAGGGCTGTACCAAGAGCCTGCAGCGGAGCTGCAGGAGCGTGGAAGGCCACGGGAGCGAAGGCAGATGTGGGGCTGCCAGGGAGAGAGTCTCAGGAGGAGTGCCGTGTGGGAAGGAGAACGCGAACCCCAAATAAAGGACACGGAGTCAGAGAGAAGTGTCTGAGTCCTTTTATTACATAGGTAAAACGTCGTTTCGGAGGCAACACAAGCTTCCGTCTTTAGGTGGGACAGTTCCACATGAAGACGGAAGCTTGTGTTGCCTCCGAAACGTCGTGATTTTTATTTAATTTTTATTTTACTTTTATTAATAATTTTTTTTACCTACGTGACTTTACCGAAAAAACCTAAGAATATGTTTGTTGTTTCTCGTTGCGCTTGTGCAACCATTGCCAGAGCAGCAGCAGCAGCAGCAACATCACCAAATAATTTATCATCATCAATCAATCAACCTTACAGAACATTCGCACACTCAGCGTCCCCCCCCATTGTATGCACCTGACGTATGTGACCACCACCCCGGGCCTGTGCGTGTGGGTGTGTGTGTGGGTGGGTGTGTGTGTGGGTGTGCGTGTGTGTGTGTGTGGGGGTGTGTGTGGGTGTGTGGGTGTGCGGGTGTGTGGGTGTGCGGGTGTGTGGGTGGGTGGGTGTGTGGGTGGGTGGAGCACAACAAGCTGAAGAGACACGGTGCAGACGGCAGACGCAGCGCACCCCCCCCACACAACACGTGGTGGGGTGGGGTGAGAGGTCACGATCGGGACCTCTCCCCCCCCCCCCCACACAACACGAGGTGGGGGGGTGGGGTGAGAGGTCACGATCGGGACCCGGGCAGGAGGCGTGGTGCAGGGTGGTCCAGGGTGGTGCAGGGTGGTACAGGGTGGTGCAGGGTGGTGCAGGGGGTACCTTTCTTGTCGCCGTACAAACGCAGCTCCCGTGCGGTGAGGACACAGAAAGCGTTCAGCGCTTGGTCCACGACCACGCGGCCTGCGTCTGTTGAGCAAACGCGAGTTCGCTTCAGTGTCGCCGCGGGTCGCTCGGGCAAAGCGACACTTCCCCTAATGCGGGCCCCCTTCACTCATTGTCAAGACAACGACCCTCTCCGGCGTTGAAGATGTGCCAACGCCGAGCAGACAACGACGACGAAGGCACCGAGTCTGCATTAACCACACGTGCTTGTGGTAAACAACAAAAAAGTTACCCAAATACGCTTTGATCCGTGTACGCAATCTCCTTGAAACTGATTGGCCTACACCAGAGACAAGCTGGACATACTCTCTGGTTCTTTCGGTAAAGTCACGTGAGAAAATGATCAGCAGATTATTTTCTCACCCGAAGACGGACGCTTGTGTCGCGACCGAATAGTCGTGTTTTCGTTTGTAATTTGTTCTACCTCCGTGACTTCACCCAAAGATCCAGAGAGAGTATGGATATACTGAACCTGTATATATATACATTTTACCCATAAGCACGCGCGGTTAATGTGGACGTGAAGCCTTGTAACAGGCGTCTGTTTGGTGTTTGAACATCTTGAACACCTGCCGTAATTCACACTCGAGACCCATCCTCCTTTCTCGCTTCCCTTGCGCCTGGTGAAACCAAACAAGCCCAACTCGCTTTCGCCCCGTGTCAAAAGGAGATCCGAAACGAGCCCCTCTGCTTAGAATCCACCAAACGCCAAAGAGACGGCGAGAGGAACACGCGGATCGGGGGACAAACCCCACTACGCAAGGAAATGTAACGAAGACGGCCACGGCATCAACGCACGCTCAGATTTCGGCGCCCCTGCGGCCGTCTGGAACGCTCTTCCCTTCCGATATTAGGAAGCGCCTGGAGCGATGCACTTTTACATGCTCTCCATTGAAAACAACATTTCTTTAGAAGCGCTTGTGTGTTCACGTTGTTGTCCTTACCCCCGCACCTCCGATTAGCACGTACGGTGCGAAAAAAGTTCAACACGTACATATTTCTTCACATACATATTTATATACAAACGTACGTACGGACCGGACGCATCGCGGCTAGAAGGAGGCGATGGCCGACGGTCGAGACTAGTGTGCGAATGGCAGCCAAAACATGGAACGCGCCGTGACCACCGCAGAGATGCCAGCAAATGAGATCGATTCACGTGCAGAAGTATGGGGGGGGGGGGGGGGGAAGGGAGTGGGAGACTGAGGTATGAAAGAACCGACGTTGGTAGTCGTTCATCCAGCAACGGAGAGAGCATGGCTGTCGATGATGAAGATGATTATAATGACGATGCATAATTTTTTTGGGTTGAACGTGCCAATTGGTGTGCTGGACTATGAACGAATTGGAATGTTTTGTTGAGGTGTTGGGTTACATCGCGTAAATACAAATGTGTTGTTGAACCTGCCATCACCCGACACATCCAATTAGTAAGGTTGATTACGCATCATCA